AATGCGTAGCAAAGAGAACGTTGAGGTTAGCAGGGGTCTGAGACAGGGATGTCCTTTGTCCCCATTGTTATTCATGCTGTACATGGTGAGTATGGAAAAAGCGCTAGAAGGTAGCAACATTGGTTTTAATCTGTCACACAAACAGGGCGGCATGATGATTGAGCAGAAGCTTCCAGGTTTATTTTATGCGGACGATATCGTCTTATTTGCGGACAGTCGAGATGATATACAGCAGCTGGCGAATATATGCGGAAGGGAAGGTGAAGCTCTTGGACTAGGATTCAGTGTAACGAATTGTGGTTTGATGGTATTCAATGATCCCTGTGATCAGACGGTGTCCATACAAGGCCAAGAAATACCGAGGGTAAGTGAATACAAGTACCTTGGAGTATGGGTAAATGAGAGTGATAGATACATGGAGGTACAGGAAAAAGCCTCGGCAGCAAAAGGAAAGAGGAATGCGGCAATAATGAAGCACAGAGCGTTGTGGGGATACAATAGGTATGAGGTGCTTCGAGGTCTGTGGAAGGGTGTAATGGTTCCAGGGCTTACTTTTGGGAACTCAGTGGTGTGCATGAGAGCAGAGGTGCAATCGGGAATGGATGTAAATCAAAGGACTGTGGGACGCCTCGCGTTGGGTGCTCACGGGAAGACGACAAACGAGGCTGTAAAGGGCGATATGGGGTGGGCAGGTTTTGAGGCGAGGGAAGCGCAGAGCAAAATAAGGTTCGAGGAAAGGCTAAGAAATATGAAGGAGAGTAGATGGGCAGAGAAGGTGTTCCGTTATTTGTATAGGAAGAGCGTGGACACACAGTGGAGAAAAAGAACTAGAAGACTCACTAGTAAATATACGGCTGGTATTGTGAGCCATATGTCAACAAAGAGCGTTAAGGGAAAAGTCAGGGAGGCGGAGAGGATTTACTGGATGGCAGCTATGGAGAAAAAACCGGCTTTGAGTAACTACCGAAAGGGCAAAAATGAAATAAGGAGGGAGGCATTTTACGATAATTCAAGGGGAAGCGCTTTACTGTTTGAAGCGAGATCGGGTTGCCTTAGAACGCGTAGTTATAAAGCAAGATTCAGTAAAGAAGAAGAACAATGCACATGCTGCGGGAAAGATAAGGAAACGGCGGAGCATGTTCTGATTGAATGTGGAGATATCCACCCAGGTGTACGTTTGGGCACGAGCCTACAGGAAGCCTTGGGTTTTAGGGACAACAATGGAAAGCTGAACACACCCGCGATTGAAATAAGTAAGAGACGGTTAGAGTATTGGTGGCAGAAAATTAGAGAGAAAGGACAAAAATAAATATTGGAAAAATAAAATATGGACAGTGTGCCGTAAATGGCAGAGAACTTAAGCTGAAAATTTACTTTTTTTCCATTAAGATAGAATTTATCGAAGTAGAGGCATTAGGCCAACATAAAAAAAAAGAAAAAAGGTTTTTTTTTTTTTTTTTGTCGAGCCTGGTGGCATACTTGCCACCAGCCCGTTATAAAGGGGACGCTCATAGCATCCATCCATCCAATATATGATGAAAAGATGCGAGATGGTGGTACTTGGAGTGTTGAATAGGTGGGCGAACGGACACAGACAGATGCATGGACGAAAGCAAGGACGGACGCACAGATGACACAGATGAACGTGCGGACGCACGAACAGAGGCACGCACGGATATATATATATATATATATGCAACAACTTTCTCTAGGGAAGACTTGTCGCGTTGTAGAAGAACGGCTCCTATACCAAGGCCGCTAGCGTCGGTATGAAGGATAGCCGGTGCGGCTTTTTCAAAGTGGCAGGCAGAGCAGAGGTTCAGACGTGAGTGCCCGCTTCAACAGGTCGAATGCAGTTTGACATTCTTGAGACCACACAAAGGGGACGTTGGAAGCGAGTAGTTGGTGTAATGGAGCAGCAATAGAAGCGAGGTTCTGGATAAACCGGCGAAAATAGGAGGCGAGGCCATGGAAACTGCGAAGCTCCTTTGGTTTTTCGGGACGCGGAAAGTGAAGGACTGCAGAAATCTTGTCAGGATCGGGCCGGATGCCATGTTTGCTAACAACATGTCCTAAGACCTTGATAGATTTGCTAGCGAAAGAGCATTTCTTAGTGTTTATTTGAAGCCCGGCGCCGGCAAGGCACGTCAGAACCTGATCCAATCGTTCTAGGTGCTCAGGAAACGTTGACGAAAAGATAATAATGTCGTCCAGGTAGCAAAGGCAACTTTTCCATTTCAGGCCGCGCAGCACGGTATCTATCATGCGCTCAAAAGTCGCGGATGCGTTGCAGAGCCCGAAAGGCATCACGTTGAATTCATATAGCCCGTCGGGGATTGCGAACGCCGTTCATGCATGGGGATCTGCCAGTACACACCACCTCCACCAGGTATGAAGTCTTGGTAGTCTTGGTTGCGACAGCGTTTAATTGAGGAAAGAGCTCGCAAAACGAACGGGCAGAGCCAGTACACAGCCGATAACGATGATGACGACCCAGAGTGGCAATGAGGACAAAGAGACAAGCGGATGATGGTGATTGTGATCATGCAGGCATGAGGACGATGTAAGTAACAAATGCCCACACTATATATAGTCAAGTAGATCCTCCGTGAGCGGTCACAACGTGGTTTATTTCGACGTTTCGGCCTAGAGTATGGCCTTCATCAGGATCAAAAGTACAGTTTGTTGGTGCTCAGCTTTATACAATCTCAAATCAGAGGGAAAGAGGAAAAAAGACAGAAAAAAAAGAAAAAAGGAAAAAAGAAAAAAAGAGAAAAAGAATATAAGGTGGGATCCCCCCCCCCCCCGGCGCCCCCTTCCACTCTTCCTTCCACTTCCCCCTTCATCTCTCTCCCTTTTCTCCCCTTCACCTTTCTGATGTCAGCGGTCTTTGTATGCTTCATATATATATATATATATATATATATATATATATATATATGTGTGTGTGTGTGTGTGTGTGTGTGTGTGTGTGTGTGTGTGTGTGTGTGTGTGTGTGTGTGTGTGTGTGTGTGTATATATGTATGCTGACCGGCGCATCCCGTTTCACTCTTGCTACTGGTTGCTTTGATTGTTGCGGTTTTAACGTCACATATCCACATGATTGCGTGGGAGCCCATAGGGGGGGCTCCGGAAATTTCGCCTACCTGGGTTTTTTTAGCGTGCATCTAAATCTGTCCATGTACCTCAAGCATTTTCTCCTCCATCTAAAATGCGGCCGCCGCAGCCGAGATTATACACTCAAACCTCGATATAACGGATATGGATATAAAGAAATGTCGGTTATAACAAAGTAAATGAAAAATTTTCCCACCATAAATTCAGTGTTCAGAAAAAACTTTATGACGAATTTTCTGATATAACGAACTTATTTTCATATAAGATGCAAGTTTGTTATATTGAGCTTGGAGTGTACCGCAGTTGAGGGTAGGGGTTGTGTTCAGAGTTTGAGTTCCAAGCAGTTACTTTTGCCTAGTAACATGAATACCGGTCTTAAACTGCACCCGAAAGCGAAAATATCGGCTATGCATTTATGGGCATAAGAACACAACGAAACCCCTTCTGAACCTCTAAGTCATGCTCATATATCAAAGCGGGGCCATGGGCGGGCAAAGAACAAATTAGGTATCTGGCTAAAATCCATTCATTCCCTAGTCATCAACAGAGCTGCGATAGCCATGTCCCATGTCCAAGTATACGGTAACATGTCCTGTGCTGTATGCTGCAGGCATGAGGATGAGAACTTGCTTGTGCTTGTCCCGGTGACGCAATGGTCAATTTTTTTAGACGTCTCGACAAGGTGTATTCGTGGTAGGGCAGCAAGTTCTTCCCAAACGAGTTAGTTGGGGCCCATTTAATTGCAATTGCTTATTTAGGCAACACCAATACCCTATTGCGTATTTTAGGTAGGTGGCTTTCCCATACAACCATGATTGGAAATGTCAAGTCCTGGCCAGTTTACGCAAAGATTCAGATTAGAATGCTCAGAAAATGTGTTTCAACATGGGGCAACAAACTTTTAGTTCATATGTGTAGTATTTACATTAATAGCAAAAAAGTACTAATTGACAAAAAGGAAACTATCGGGCTCCTTTCTCAGATGAGAGGCGCTCCGCAATTCTCGGAGTGGCACTTCTATTTTATTCACGAGTTTTATTAAGACTATAGATATATAGCCAGATCTTTTCAATGAAAACTGCTTCACTAAACAGTAAAAACTGCATGAGAAAACAAATGAGCTAGCAATGACTAATGAAATCGCTTGTCAAAAGGCAGGTTTGATGCAGCAAAATCATCAAAAAAAAAAAGGCTTTCGTGACTGCTTCAGCTAATGCAGTTTCATATATATAGCAGCAACCAGATGAAAAAAAATTTAAGCGACATCAAGAATAGTCTCAGCAACCCAAATTTTAATAGTATTACAAGATTACAACTGCTTTATGGGTGACGTGGAACTGCTGCAAGATAATCCAAATTACCAAGCACGTTCCAACACTCTGGCACCATCTAATATTACACGCGAAAGTTTTTTCACTTTAGACCATGCAGCCAACCAGACCAGCAAAATACTCAGTCATCAATACCTTCATGCTGTCTCCTTAATTTGCTTGAACCATTGACTCTTAATGCAATTCATGGATCAAAGAGTGCAAAATGTTTGATTTATGCAGTAGGATCTACACACCGTGAGACAAGCAGTTTACCCACAACTTTAAGGACAATGAAACTTTCTGGGTTTTTCGTGGCAAAACCAGGGTAGGAATGTGAGGCATGCCGCAGCGGAGGCCTTTGATAACGCACACCCATATCTAAGTATACATGGATTGCTATAGATTTAGCCTTTATCAAAATAATGTCCACGAGATGAGGAATTCAATTTACACTCTTTAGCTTAACAATGCAAAACCTTAATTAGCCAGGTTCAAGGATATTCATTATCAAAATAATTTGGCTGTTCTGTACATGCTTCTAGCCACAAGCCTTCGACACAGACAACAAAGTGCACAGACACTTCATTTTTTATTTATTTGTTTTGTGTACTGTAAATACATCAATGCTCACAGCTCAAAAAGCGAGCAGTTCAAGTATCAATTGAAAAATAGACTTCGACGATTTGCTGACAAGGCATGTGAAGCACTGCCGGCATGACAATAACTTCAAGCTCATTTTCTTGACTTTCGTACATTTAAAAGCAAACCAAAGTTCTTTGTGAAAAATTCCTATTCCTATAATGTACAAAAATATTTGTAAAAAAAGACAATGTCATACGTGGCTCAAAAAAAAATGCAGCAATCAGGTACGTCTACCTTAAGTCCATTTTCGTTCCTCGCCTTCGAAAATCCCCTCACTGATGTTGCAATGGCACAATATTAATACGAACTGCGTATTGCTGGGTTTTTACGAAATCAATGTACGGAAATGATGCATTTACGAAAAGTTGCCATTCACAGGCACATCCCGAGGTTCACATCAAGATTGGTAAGTTGTTTGAACTTTCTGAAGCAGAGCATCACATGTCTTCTTTGCATCTCCAAGAAGCATGTTTGTGTTCTCTTTGTAGAAGATTGGGTTGTCGACGGCTGCGTAGCCAACACCTAGACTCCTCTTCATAACAATCACCTACGTGAAGGAAGTAAAAGCATACATATATTGATCACAATGCCATCTAAGCTGGCAAAACATTTCTCCAAACCCTTACAAACATCAAGTACACTGTTCACTAGATCGAGTAAACACGTGGCACTATGAAAGCACTACCTGACATCACAAACTATTTTCAATAACTTTACCTTCTTTGAATTCCAGACCCTCAGAACTGGCATTCCAGCGATTATAGAGTTTGGATCCTCCTCAGCTGCAGAATTTACGGTGTCATTGGCACCAATGACAAGGACAAGGTCTGTCTTCGGAAAGTCCTCGTTGATCTCGTCCATTTCCAAGACAATATCGTAGGGCACACCAGCCTCAGCTAGGAGGACATTCAACTGGCCTGGCATGCGGCCTGCATGGCAAAAAGAAACAAACATATGTATCGGGTTGGCCCACTGTTAGCAATGGTAAAGTGGCCACACACGATTGCAAAACCAACATGTTGCATGGTGTAACAGGGTACGCACTGTATAAACATGCTGCAGATCAAGTCATTCATATCCTAGTTCAGTACTGCATTGCCACATCCCACTCAGTGTGGAAAACCACATACAACCCAGTCGCAACATAAATGTATTGTGTTAATCCGTGTTCATGGATTCACACTTTGTTCAAACTTGTTTGTGACTTGGTTCACAGAAATGCACATTCAGTGTGCGACATGAAGATGAAACTATTCTGCAAGTAATGAAAAGCACGAGTGAAAAGCGTGAAAAGCATGCTAGGCGATTCTCATCGAAGTGAATAGCCTCTGTAATAGTTCTTCACAATGCCCGTCTCATGTTTTCTGTTAATTAAAAAATTTAAAAATGCCAGGCCTGCACGGAAGGCGCAACGCAGTGACAGCGAAAGCTCGAAGAGCAGCCTTTCAGAGCCTCTTCTAAACACTTGTTGAGTAACTACTGCAAGCACACTTGCTTGATACTCACTACAACATTAATAATAAAATTTTTTGGGTAGTAGGCCGCCATTCCCTATGCTATTTTTCATCATTCTTCTGAAAAGCGTGGTATCCGCTAAACACTTGCAAGGAATTTTGTGCCAATTGTTCATGCAGTGGCTGATGATGATGAGGAATTATACCTGAAGTGGGTATTTGCCACAGTTAATAGGCGAACAAGAACAAGCTTTTGTGATAGGTTGGAGCATTGGACCACCCACTCATTACGCTATTCGCATTGTGCGACGACTGGTTGTTCTTTCACTGTTTAAAAAGCAAAGCGCTTTATCCAACAAGTTCTGTAAGTTAAAAGCCAACCCAGCCTTTAATACGAATCCAGGTTGCCCTAAAAGTTTTTTTTCGGCAGTATCTCCGCAACAAGCGAACTGTTGCCGTTACACACGAGCTATCGTGTTCATCTTGGCCTCGTTTGGAAGGATCGTTCTTCATCTTCAATTTCCCGCCACCGCTGGCTCGCCTTGCTCATTGGTTTTTTAGCGAAAACGCGTCATCGAGAAGCACTAGCGCCCGATTCAATAGGCTGCTTGGGGCACGTGACAAAACCTAGGCATCTGATTGGCCAAGGGGCACTTTCGGCGTCTGCTTCACCATCGTGACGCGCACGGACATGCGCCATTTTGTCATGGTGCTACTGGCTGACTGCGGCAGTAAAGAAGTTCTGCGCTATAGTAATTTCTGAAGCAGGTGTGGCGTTCGTTCGTTCGCTGTGAACTTCAGAAGGAGCCCCGCTATGGCTCAGGACAACGAGGATAACGAACTCGACGCGGTCAACGGTAGTCGCCGAGTCACCGAAGTAGGCCTAACTCACGTATGAGCCCGTTGGTTGCCGACAACGTTACTGAGAACGGCTGTGTTTTGCAGCCTCATCAGTTAGAAAACGGCAAGTAAAAAGCAGAAGTAAAGCTAGAAGAGATATCAATCTTTGTAGTGACATAACAGAAGCGCAGTCTTATTGCTAAACGCGCCGATGCCGCGGTTCCCCCTGCCTGACAAAAGGACCTTGAAATGCGCGACGGGTCGTCAGAGTGGAGTACGCCGTGCGTCGACGAACAACAGGAAGTCAATCCGTTCGCGGTGAAAATGCTCGCCACCCCCGCAATAGACGCTACTGGAAACTGGTAGACTGCTTTTCACGACGCGTTCGCAACGTTGTCGCGATCTTTGCTCGAAAATGCGGCAGTCTTACGTGAAAAAGGAACTAGCACCTCGGCACTCGCGTAGCCTCCAAATTGATGAGCGAGGGAGCAACTTTGGTTCGCGGCATTTACGGGTAACTCATTCTGGACAAGCCGGAAAACATCGCCGTGTTATTCGACGTATCGCGTATGACGCACGCACATTTGTCGCACGTCGCCGTCACTACAGTTACCGAACTGATAAGCGGCCTCGCGGCAGACGAGCACACAGCGACAACTTGCTACAGGACTAGAAGAAACGACACGCTCGTACAAACAATCAGTCCTATTACATTCCCGGTGCATATTAACTGACTAAAAGTATGTGCGCCATGATATTTTTTCCCTCGGAACGGCGAAATAAAGTTTTACCGTAATAGCATTATTCTTGAAGCACAGATTTTGACCACTTTCTTTTGCTTGTTCGGTAAAAGTGGACCTAGGACAGCTGGAGCTGTAATTGTTGCACAATGTAGCTAAATGTGCACAAAAAACAATGCTGGAAGCCTATTTTTATTGGGCGGCTTCATTTTTTTTATTTTAATATAAAAATTTTTGCATTTGGTTACATGCAATGAAATGTGCTGTAATTCGAGAAATACTGGTTCAATTTTCGATCAGCTTGCACTCCTTAGGGTTTCTAGCATTCATTTATATGTCAATGGCCATGTAATTATAAGTACATACATTTTTACAGTTAAAGATGTTGGAATTCTGTTTTCTTCATTTTCTCAAAATGGCAATTTCGCACGCCCTGCATGAAAATTACGGCAATTTATCGGAAACTATTACAGATAGCAGAATATTTTTTTTGAAGCATAAAGCTATATGTTTGGAGCACACAACATAGGAAGCAGATTTTGATTTATCTTGATGCAAGTTTTTTAAACTAGTCTTTTGTGTGACCACACAATGGCCACATTCAGAGCTGTGAAGTTTAGTGTACTCTAAAGTAAGAAATAATGCCCCAATCAAAAAAGTGCTTCCTATGTTGTATGTGTTATGCTTTCTACTGTCAATCCCTATGTCATTTATAAATTTTTGACGGGTAGTTATTGTTCCATTGTAGTAAGAACAATAGAAATTGTTATCTTGATTATTTAATTAACTAATGAAGCTACAGAAAAAATCACTACATTTTTAGAATCGGGAGAACAAACTAAGTAAGCATGCCAAGTTTTGTCACATTTGGTTGTAAAGTCTTATTAACGCGATTGCTTTTCCAACATCCAGCTTGCCTAAGGCAAGTCTCCCAACAAGTCCTAAGCACCGGCATGGCTCAGTGGTAGAATACTGGGCTGGCACCCAGCAAACCCAGGTTCGAGACCCACTGTGTTATAGTAAAAGTTTTTTTCTAATTTTGTGCAATGTAGTTACGAAGACCGGGAGCGGCGGCGGCGGACAACTATGGCGCAGCGTGTCCCCCGAGTTGTGATCTCATAACAACTTTCGCTGTAAAAAAGAAAAATACTCAAGACAACCTGTCAGACCTAGAGCGAAAGAATCAACACAGCCTGAGAGAAAGGGCACAAGATATGGTCATGACCCATGCCCACCTGTAGTGGGAGGCCATCCTTCTAGGGTGCACACTGAACTTGTCAAGAATTTAAAAGCTTATTCTATATTTCAGTGCAGCTAACAGAAACTACACATGATTACCGTAATTACTCGAATCTAACGCGCACCTTTTTTCCGGTTAAGCGAGTTCATAAATCGCATGCGCGTCAGAATCGAGTACGAACAAAAAAATTACGGTCAATCTATTGCCATCACAAATCCAAAATGGCCGCCCCCTACGTGCGTCGGCATGGTGCGTCGGCTATTTCTGCCTATGTGTTTACCATGTGCGGCACTTCGTACGTGTGCTGAGGAGTTCGTCATCTAGTAGTGCATTAGCATTGACGACGTGGAAGGGCCGACTCCAAAAACTCGAGTGTACCACGATGCCGCTTTTAAAAGAAAAGTCATCGCGTGTGCAGAAACGGACGGAAATCGGGCCGCATCGCGGTCCTTCTCGAAACGTGCGTGCGGGACCGGCGTAAACAAAAGCAGAAGATTGTCGACAGCAAAGCCTCATGCAAAGGCTTCAGTGAACCACAGCAGGGTCGGTTTCGGCAAATTGAAGAGCTGCTCCGCGAGTATGTGCTTGAGGAGCGAGTGGCGCAGCGGCCCATGACGACAGAACTGCTCCAAGTGCGGGCTATGCAATTAGTCTTAGAAAAAAGTCTAATGCGGAGCCTGTTTAAAGCGAGCAAGTGCTGGCTAATTAACTATATGAAGAGGAAAGGCTCTTCCCTCCGAAGGGGAACATGCATATGCGAAAACTTTTGCGGAGAAGTACGATGAAAAGCTTTACAGTTTTCAGAGGTTCGTCCTAAACTTGCGGCGCAACAACGGCTACCTGCTTGGGCAAATCTGGAATGCCGATCAGACGCCTCTTTACTTCGACATGCCTGGCACCACAACTGTCGAGAAGAAGGGGGTGAAGCAAGTTCGCGTGCTGACATCGGTCCACGGTAAAACTACAGTGACGGCAATGCTCTGTTACACGTCAGATGGGCACAAGCTTCGCCCGTACCTCATATTTAAATGGAAGACAATCCCGAAAGGAATCGTTTTTTCGAGTGGTGTGATCGTGCGGGCCAGCAAAAAAAATGGGTGCGCGTTGCAATCGATGTCTTACGTTTTTTTTTTTTCGCGGTGGAAATCGGGTGCGCGTTACAATCGAGGGTGCGGTAGAATCGAGTAAATACGGTATATGATTATATGTTATATGATTATATGTTATATAACAGCTGGCTTAACAAAGAAGAGAAGCTTAACCACAGCACAATTCTCGGACTTTTCTGATGACCTTTCTGCCAAGTCGCCGACCTTCTTTGCACTGCCTAGAAGCAGTGCCAGAAGCCATGTTGGGCAGAAACGGTCACCACCCAATTTTAGCGCTGAATTTTCTCGATATTTTGTGAGGCATATAAGCGAGAAAATACGGTACCTGAACATGCACACAAACTTCTGTCTCACCAGCAACAGGGTGAATTCCGAAGCGCACATTCTTGCCAGCTGCCTGCAGAGTCTTGACCATCTCAGCCAGTGGGTACTGGGCCTTGGCAACACAGAGGCCATAGCCGGGAGTGATGATGATGTTTTTGGCCTCACGGATCATGGATACGGCCTCATCCACGTTGCACTCAGTGTGAGTGCCCGTGATGGCCATCGGCTTGCCCCCACCAGTGCTTGACGTGCCGTAGCCACCAAGGATGACGTTGGGAAGTGACCGGTTCATAGCCTGCGAAGCAAAACGACAGTACAGTTCATCACATAAGCAATACAGGGGTTCAAGCAATGGCAATGAACAAAACATAACCAATGTCTAATTCACTACGAAAGCACGTCCTACAAGATTTAAATCAACATAAATTTGAATATCAATTTATTATATTACATCATAAAAAATAAGGTAAATCCACCTAACCTCTGCCCTAGCTAAAACTTTGTTGCAGGTATTGATTTGTATTGTTAGTGTGAGGTATTAGCCACTGAGCCCCGAAGAAGCACTCAACTTTGTCGAAAGTACAGTGGAACAATGATTATTCGACTTTCAGGGGACCACACAAAACTGCCGTGTTATTCTGGCACGTCTTATAATCGAAAAATTAAGATTATAAGCAGTGACACTCAGCCTTGCAAAAAAAAAAACAAAAAACAAACAGGTATAGGTCACCTGACAGCACGACCTTGTGCCTCTGCATGCAAGGAAGGTAGATTAAATTATCCTTACCTAAGGCAGCTAATGGCAGCACTACTTAGTTCGAGGAGGTATGAGTGAATTTTTGTTCTCAATTAAAAAAAAAACCAATCGAATGCGCATGTTTGTGCCGATAAATGAGAGTCCGAAAATTGCCTATGCGTGAAAACAAAACCAAAACCACACTGCCAACAGCCTTTCGTCAGAAGAGTCCGACACAGTGTGATCACTATCACATAATGGCAACGGACCATGAGTTTGGGTAGAACATACTTTTCTAAAGTTAACTAGAGGGGACTCTGAAGCTGGGATTGTTCATAAGAATGATGGGTAGTATAGATATATTTGCCTTGTCTTCGTACTTGCGGGCCTCAAATCCCACTTGTGGCTTCGTTTATTTCTGCGTTTCGGTTTCGTTTCGAAGGAAACAATGAACCATTTTGAACTTCGTGACCAGATTTGAAATGGTACGCCTAAGTGATTAAGGTGGTGAAGCACAATCACTGAACATTCGATGATTTTTGTTTCATGACAAAACAGCTTCAAGCCACATGAACAGAAACAGAGCTAGAAGTACGAAGATACAAATCGGTGTACTACCCATCAATCCCATGCTCGCTGCAGCGCCGTGCATTGCAGCTCCCATAGACTCCAGTGCGAGTTCCCTCTAATGTATTTATAGGAAATTCTGGCGCAGAATGCTTTCGTGTGCGACTGAGCTGTGCACGTTGAAATTTGTTGGCTTCTGAAGTGCAACAAGTGATGTCCCGCTGTTATAATTAACGTTGACATTAGATGAAAGTAATTATGCGCATTAAAAACAGCAGCGTCCCGCCTTTATGCATGCGCAAGCATGTGACTGCGAGTGCTACAAAGGCAGGAAATGAGCTGTATGTCGACTAGAAAAAATTTCCATGGACCGAGAACGTGAAAATATCAGCTTTTTCGCCAGCTGAAGCTACTCTATGTGGATAGAGCTTGACTATGAATATGTACGCACGCGATTGCGGCGTATGTAGAAGCGCATGAACTTTCAAGGAAATAAATTTTACATTCTAGGAAAACATGCTCTGTGTTGACTTTTCTATTTATCAACCCAGAGGAACGCAAGTTCATATTTTGCACTCTTGAATATTTGGACAATGTTTCATTCGAATAAAAGTGTTTTTCTTTCGGGCAGAATCTGAAAGTCGTAACATGCGGGGTCGACGAAAAGCTGCATCGTATAACCAAGGTTTTTATTTCATCACTTGTATGGAGATTTTGCGGGGACAAAATCGATCCATCGTAAAATGCGAGTCGTCGTGAAACCGGGGACGTATAGTAATCGAAGTTCCACAGTATTACCATTTCTTTCTGTAGGATTGAAGCTATGCTTTTAATTTAGCTTCAAATAAAATTAAAATGTTAATGTAACATGTACTAGGAGCATGGTACACTGTAGAATCTTTTTTTTTTTTTTTAATAGTGAATACCCCGTCATAACCGGGAATTGAACTTGAAATTTCACATTCAGTAGCTGAATGACTGATCAGACCATGAACACTCTGCAAAGTCACCGTAAATGAAATAACAGAAGTACCGTACACTGAACAGAGCAGCTCAGAGCAAGACTAACAAATTCTTGGAGAAGAAAATCGCTTTAGATCCATGAATGCACCGACCTTGCACATAATGTAGGAGAGGATGGCACCAGATGAACCAATGAGAGCACCCACGATGGTCATGAGGTTGTTGTTGAGCATGAAGCCCTCGGCACAGAGGGCCCAGCCAGAGTAGCTGTTTAGCACTGTGATCACCACAGGCATGTCAGCGCCTGAAAGTCAACATGCACACACAATATTATACGATGCCTTCTAATGTATCATAAATGCCACAGCAAATTTTATCTACCACAGGTCTTGACCAGAGTCAAGACCTGTGGACCGAAACTTTGATCACTGATCAACCATGCTCTTCCATTTTACTGCCGACAGATCGTATTCTATTGTGCACAGACTGCCCAGAACTTGCAACTAATGTTGGAGTGAAAGTTTACGAGGTGGCTTCATCACAATGCAAAAAAGCAGCAGAGACAGCGATGATGATTGAAACTGACAGGTGACAAGGATGTGACAATGGTTAATGAAAGCAAGTGGCAAGGAAGTTTTGTTTTTGAAATGTTCGAGCATATTAAGTGCGGTCGTTTGTAGCCCGCTTAAAACAAACCTGGGCGTGATGCGGCATCCGTTCGCTGCGTCCCAAAGTTCGTAGTAAATGAAACCCAGCTTTAAAAGACCTTCCACAAGAAATTTCGTGACGCTTTCACAAAAAAGTCCGTGACGCTTCCCCAACCAAGTCCGTAATGCACATGTTTCGAAGAGCAGAAGCAATAAGGATGATCTAGAGTTTATTTAAAGTAGCAGCTTGCTCTGAGGCATGTGGCACATACAAGCTGCCTGAGGCTATTAATGTGGCCAATCACAACAAGTAAGCTTGTGGGCACCGACTCCAAAGTTTCATCGTTCTCGCTATCAGATTCGTATGACATTGTAAACCCAGTTCCATTCATCATGGAGGTTTGATATTCAAACTCTTTTCACTCAGCCTCTGTATCAAGATCGGATAAACAGATCAAAGCAGGGTGGTATAGCCAATAAAATGCTCTCACAACTGTAAAACAAAACAAAGTTTACCTCCAATGGCTGATGTGAGAGTGAATCCCATGAGTGTGGAAAGGGCAGCAGTGGTCCCGAGACAGCCCAGACCGGCAGTGAGGCTGTCATCCATGAAGTAGTAGGCCATGGCAGCTACGTTGGCTGCCAGGAGACCACTGTTGAGCACGTGACGGCCGGGGAGCAGAAGAGGAGCAGAGTTCAGAAGCCCTGCACACGAGTGCCAGAATAAGCCCTATGAGCCAGAGTAAATGACGTGTTGGTATATTAAAGAAATTTTTAGTGGCGAAGCTCCTTATGGCGTGGCTTGTGCGTCCCCATTGTGGGTAACCCCCATCGTTAATTGTCGAACCGACAATAGAGGGCGGTACTTGTACTATACACTGAAAGATGCAAATGGTACGACACTAGAGGGCGTTACTTTGAGAAAAAAAGGATTGACGTCACACGTACGGAAGGAGAGAGAGACGATGAAGCGGCAACGATCGAGTGTTCTTTGGCAGCGTCGTACGCCAGGGGGGCGCTCTATAGTGCAATAAAAGCGCCATTTCTCTATAGTGCAATAAAAGCGCCAGGGTCTCGGCGACAGAGGATGGACAAGGCTGTTGAGCAACTGCGGCTCGTGCCAAAAAGACAGGGACCCCGATGTGCGGCAGAAGCGCGCCACGAAGCAGCGCAGCAGCGGCGTGCGAACCCAGCTTCGCCTTACTTTCTATGATTCACCTCGTGGATATGCTGTCATTTTTTTTAGTACCCCACATAATTTCACATATTGTTAACTGCACTACTTTTTCCAGCCAAGAAACATTTGAATTAGTGAGCCTTAACTGTGCTTGCAAGAAAGGCCTACCAGTTCGATGTTCATTTCCTTCTGCCGATTGTTCAAGACATACCTTGAAGCTTTCCGTATGCAACAAGAGAACCGCTGAAGGTGACACCACCAATGTAGGTGCCCAGGAAAAGAGCAGTCTTGATCACATTCGCTGCTTCATCGGTTGCAAAGGTAGGGTAATCGACCATGTATGTGGCAAAGCATGTGAGTACAGCTGCCAGTCCTACCAAGCTGTGGAAGGCTGCCACTAGCTGTGGAAGGTCAGTGATCTCAATCTTCTTTGCCACCAGCAGGCCGATACCAGCACCTGACATGCACAAGGGAAGAAGAAACAGTAAACACCTCACGAAACGATGTCAATAACGTGACAAGTTTAACAAAATACCGGGATGAAATGTCATACCTTAAAGAGATACTGACACAAAAATTTTGGCCTTGTGTTTTTTGCAGCAATGTGTTGCTAGAGGCCTGGTTGATTGATTGATTTATTGATATGTGGAGTTTAATGTTCCAAAACCACCATATGATTATGAGAGATGCTGTAAAAGAGGGCTCCAAAAATTTTGACCACCTGGGGTTCTTTGACGTGCACCCAAATCTGAGCACACAGGCCTACAGCATTTTCGCCTCCATCGAAAATGCAGCCGCCGCAGCCAGAATTGGCCCGCGCATTCCACAAGCCAAAACAAGGACAGTTTCCTCTTGTGCAGGGAGAAGTTCTCATTTGGAGGCTCCATAATCCTGCCACTAAAAAGAAGACCAGCAGCAAGTGAACAGAGAGTTTCCCTGATACCGTAATGCTAAATTTTGGCTGTTATAACTACTGTGACTTGTTTTCTACCACATAATAAACCCTCCTCCAAATCTGTGTCACCTTTTGAGAAAAAAGCAAAACAGTAATAGTCCCTGATGCAAACGCGGCAGAAGAAAAATAGTGGCTTGATGTCGTCATAACTAGTTGCAACGGGGTCACGTAAGGAAAGTAGGGGTAGTTCACCAAGGGTCATCTTTGAGGGTGTCAGTAGCGTGAGAGAGTAGATCACTCAGGTAAACTTCAAAATTAAATCGAACTACCTTCCAAGCTATATTGGCTGTTGATGTTTTGCAGGTTCAATTACCGTGAACATGTGTATGTCATCTGCAAGCTATCCTGGCTGCAAAGTCTTGTGTCGGAATCCCTTTAACCCATTTGTATCTAATAGAGCTTAATACAGTACAATAAAGCAAAGCATTACTGAGCTACGATCTGGCTACATCACCTTTGAGGGACAGCTCTCAAGACCTACGCATGAGCTACACATGCAAATGCAAATTGTGACAATGGCAGAATATTCCATTCACATCTGTTGAACACGTTTGACACTTCTCATGTCTACATTGACTACAGAAGCACAGTAGACTACAGAAGCTCGAAACTTGAAGTCACCAGGAGAATGTGTTTCATCAGTAGTTCCCCTGACAGAGAAATAAACCGGGATGCATATTCCAAGCACAAAACCAATCATTAGAGCCAGTTGTTCCATTTAAGCAGCAGTGGCATTGAGGAGATTTCCATTTACTAAAGGTCTGCTGCATACTGCTGAAAAACACATGTAAATGTTTAAGATCATGAACGTAACACACAGAAAATTATTTAGTTTTTGATGTGTTACCTTTTCCTACACTCACCTGCACCCATGCAAGCGGCCACTTGAGTGGCCAGCTCTGGTGTCAAGTCCATGGCACCGAGAGTGGCTGCTATTCCTCCCGAGACGCCCACCATGCCCAAAGCATTTCCCAGACGACTTGTTTTCTGAGAGGATAGGCCTGCCAGGGCACCAACACAGCAGAGAGACGAGCCCAGGTACATCATCTGCTCCAAGTCCGTGCAACCCTGAGACACGGCTGTGCTGTATGCACCTAGGAATGCCAGGGCTAGAAAAGGGAACAGAAATAAGATGTGCAACAAGCAGAGGGGATATAGGATAGGGCGTTGACAGGCTCGCAGCAACAGAAAAAATTTGAGCATGTTTTGTACAGCTACATTTGTGAAAAATTCTGTATTTTCCACTTTTACCAGGCAATAAAGTACTGCAGATTCTCAAAAGCAGTGCTGTGTAATTGCCGCGCTCCTCTGATTTGACTTCACAATGAAACTAGGGGCGCATTGAAGGCAGACCACTTGGACTGATGCACCTGGCATCGCAGCAGGCGAAACATTAAGTGTTTCTCACTTAATACTGTTCTGTTATTTCCGTAAAAAGAGAATGCGTACTTTTTAGGCTTGTGCGAATATTCCGATGCTTCGATTATGCGAACGAATAGAAGAGTATTCGAATTCGCTTGGATTCGAATTTAAATTATTGAAAATTTCGAAGTATTTGCAATGAACATATAGATGTATATCAATCCGCATGTAGCCGCCTGTAAAAGTTGTTTCACTGCAGTGTAGAAATGCTCAGCCGTGAAAGCACCTGTCCCGGGGAAAACCACTTTGCCGCGAAGCCCGACTTCAAATTTAAGGGGTTCTGCAACACTTTTTCAGCATGGACAGAAAACGCTGCCGCTCTGTGGTCGAGCCGAGAACCGGCGAGCCAAATATTATAGCACGGCACGTGCCTGCAATTCACATTAAATTCTCAAAGTCAGTTAAAAATTGCTCAACTCCTTGGGCAAATAACGCCACAAGCTCAATAAATCAATCGACGCAGCCGTTGTATCGGCCATTGCCTGATTTGAGCATGGCGCACTCGGTCGTTACTGGGGCCGCCGCGAGAGGCCGCCACTTGTACAGGCGTACGCGCATGATCCCCATGAGAAGCAGCATACATGAAAAAACAAAAAGACAAAAACAGGAGACAGTGAGAAAGAAAGTGCTCAAGGGTCATGAGGCATGTGCGATGTACTTTCTTTCCCCATGTCATCCCTCCATGCTTAGCCTCCAGCACTTTTGTCGGGACGAGAAGAGAGAATGCAATTGTAGCGTGCAACAAATCTTTGCTACTCCACTCGTACTGGACGGATTCTAAAAATTTCTTCAGCAGTGAATTCAGGAGGCAATAAGCTTCTTTAGTGAATCCATTCTATGGCTACTTGAAAAAGTGTTGCAGGGCCTATTTAAATGAACATATTACCCTCAAATCGATTCATCATTTTTTAAAGCTTAAAAACTTATGACGGCATGTATGCTCCAATATAAATTTTTAAATATTACATATTTTACATGTTATCACTCGCATCACACTAAAAGTCAGCTCCCGCTACTATTCAAAGTTGTTCTGACTTCCTTTGAAAAATAAAAATGGCATTTGCATAAAGTCCATGATTTCAATAAAAAAAATACTGTGCAGGTTAGTTAAGTCATGATACATATGCCCATTTTTTTTATATGCCATACGTATATACTATTCAAATTCAATCCAAAATTATCCGACCAAAATCACTATTCGCTTTGAACCAGAAATTCACTATTCGCACAAGCCTAGTACTTTCGAGAGCAAAACATGAATGTTTGTTTTCAAGTGTTACAAAAAATAATTCACTATATCTCGACGCCAAATAGGCAGGCAGGCAAAGAAGTATATTTGATCCGGAGATGACGCTCACTCCCCCCTTAGAAGGCAACATCGGTGGGCCGCACCCACGACGGGATGCCAAATCTGCAACGGCACGGCACAAGAATGCATACTCTGGTGGTTACCTTAAATTTGTCCAGGTTTCACTTCCATCTCATCGTCACGAAAACTTTTTGCAACAAAATTTACACGAACAAGAATGAACAAAGTTTCACTTCAATACTACAACTTCATACCACACACGGCAAACAAGCGTTGCAATTCTCAAGAACGTAATCCATCCGAAGCAGATCCGAAGCCTGCACTTCCCAAAATTCCCATGGGAGTATGTACAAGCGCCACTGAAGGAACCCGCGTATACACTAGCGCCAGACACCCTTCTCGGTTATATTGTATGAAACTCTATGCACGAGACGAGCCGAGCATAGCAACAGCAACAGATAAACGAGCTAGGGCCTTATTTTGTATCATCAAATGGGTATACTATGTAGCTCCTATGCTACACACCGTTAAAAAACATTTCTTGCAGCTACATATTTGCTGTAGACTCGTGCGTAACTGCAGTACAACAACTAAATTTCGGACTCTGAGTGCTTTAGAGATCCTTTGAATTGGTCAGAATTTTAGACAACTTCAGATATGTCCACAGATTTGTCAGAACACAGCCTTACCAGGTATGGCATAAAGATAGTTGTGCTCCTTAGGGTCAGTTGGCCGACGAAACATGTCCAGCATGCGCTGGGTGACAAGGAAGCCACCAAAGATGTTGATGGTTGAAACAAAGGCCGCACCCGCAGCTAAAGACTGTGGCAGCGTGCCTGGCATGACACCGCCACCCATCAACAGTAGGCCACCAACAGCCGTGATGCCAGAAACGGCATTGGTCACCGACATCAGTGGCGAGTGGAGAGCGGGCGTAACGCCCCACACTGTGTGATATCCTGCAATAAGCGAATAAACACCGACTCTGATCAGACTTGTTAATTCAGAACTACAACTCAACCACATTCCGTGCTTTTGCAGAAAAATTTTGTCTTCAGCATTTAGCAAACCATTTAAATACTAAATTACTTTTCCTATTTCTCAGAGACAAATTTAAAGGAAGGATCATTGCTGAAGCAAGACAATTAAAGGTGACCCTAATCCTTGACTTGGTCGAGGCATTTGCATCTCGGCATCCCTGTGCCCTGATGTATTTCTTCAGTAAACTTTGCGTCCATCCCACTGCCAAAGTGCATCTCTGAGGCTATGTCGAAAGAAGTGCGTGGTTGAAATCTGCTTCAGCAGTTGCTGAAACCATTCCAGCCGTTAACAAGAAAACCTGCTGTTCCTTATTGAAGTCATTTAGTTTATCTTTATTAATTATCCCGACAGTTAAATAACCTTTATCTTTAACCTTAGGTAAACTTATGCTCTCATATTATACATATACAATATAACTCTTGACTTGAACCAAAATTATCAATTTCATGGCAGTGTTACTTTTTTACAAGACACTTTCTGAATATTTGGTAAATCGGAAGTAACTGCTCGACCGGAAGTGCTTTAAAAAGAAACAAGAGTGTCACTCTATGCTTGTGCCAGTATTAATACAAAGTGCTGACTGTGTCTACCAACACTCACTTATAATTGTACACAAGGCCACCCATACAAGTTATAATAGCAGAGAATAAAATGAGAGATGAATGTCAGGGTACTCTAATTAAATTTAGGCCACAAGTGAGACAAACTGGCCCTCTCCAATTTACCTAAACCCCTATTACAGCTCTGAAGTAAAAAAGCCCTTCGTCACTGGATTGAAATGAAGCAGTTCAGAACTGGAGGGCCAATTGACAGGCATATTGGCTTAATTTTACCTTTACTCATAATAAAAGTAAGTTTGATTAAACAATTCACAGCTTACGCATTCTTACTTAAAGGAAAAAGCTGTAAAACAGCCACCTCATTTTTTTTTTAAATAGACATTCAGAAATTCAGACATTCAGGGCAGGTAATAACCGCAGAGCCGAACCACGAGATTGCAGTAACTCGAAGAATAAGAATGGGGTGGAGCACATTTTTTTTTTTTTTTTATTTGAATATACTGCAGGCCCTTCACGGCCCAAGCAGGAGTGGGTACACAGATACATCGAAATACATACATTGCCAGAGAAAAAAAGAAAAAAAAAAGAACAAACAAAAAAAAGAAAAAAAAAATCATGGTGCAAATTCAATACACTGTATGCGGTTGATGAAAGAGTCAATCGTACTACAACAAACAATGTCGTTGGGTAGGCTGTTCCAGAGGGAGATAGCTGACGGAAAAAGTGAATGTTTGTGAGCGTTTACACGACTTAAAGGTTGGCGTATTGTTTTAGAATGATTTAGTCGGAATGATTGTTTAAGTGGATCTTGCAGATAATGAGAGCGTGATATGTGGAAATGACCATGATATAATTGGTAAAGGAATTTTAATCGTGACATTATTCTGCGTTGAAAAAGTTGTTTTAAGTTTGCCCTTGCGAGTAAATCTGCGGTACTGGACTGCCTCGCGAATTCTGAATATACGAACCTTACTGCCAATTTTTGTATTCGTTCTATTTTACTAATCAGGTACTTTTGATGTGGACTCCAGATGAGATCGGCGTACTCTAAACATGGTCTAATTAGTGTTTTGTAGGCATTTATTTTAATATGTGGTGGTGCATTGCGCAGTTTTCTTCTTAAGAAAGATAATTTCTTTTCCGCTTTCTGACACATGGCCAAGATGTGTGGTTCCCAGTTAAGATTCGGCGTGAGTGTAATGCCTAGGTATTTTACTTGATTGCATTTTTCGATAATTGAGTTTCCAATCCTATATGTATAGTTAAGGGGGGATTTCTTATTTGTAAAAGAAATGCAATGCGTTTTTGATGTGTTTAATTTCATGCCCCAAGTATTGCACCAGGAATAAATTGCCTGAAGTGAATTGTTAAGTTTAGTTTGGTCGTCTGAATTGCGCACGACTGTGTACACGACACAGTCGTCGGCAAACAGACGCATCTGAATAGGGTTCTCAACGGAAAAGTGGATGTCGTTAATAAACATTAAAAATAGCAGAGGTGCAAGAACCGATCCCTGAGGTACACCAGAATAAACATCAAGTGGTTCTGATAGCTGATTGTCAATTTTAACGCTTTGTTTCCGTTTGGTTAAGAAGTTGTTGATCCAGGATATTATTTTAATATCAATACCAAAAGCCGTTAGTTTTTTGACTAAATCCAGATGTGGGACAACGTCGAACGCCTTAGAAAAGTCTAAAAATATAGCATCTAATTGGACGTTATCGTTGATTGCGTTGGCTATGTCATGAGTTAATTCAGCTAATTGGGTTATAGTTGAGAGGCCTGATCTGAAACCATGCTGTTGTTTGTAGAGAAGTTCGTTTGTTTCTAGGTGGGTTATTATGGCCTTGAAAATTACATGTTCCATTATTTTGCAGCACGAACTCGTAAGTGACACTGGGCGGTAGTTGCTTATTTCTAGTTTGGGGCCTGATTTATGTATAGGAACTACTACAGCATTGCACCAGTCGTCTGGTATCTGTGAAGTTTGAAGAGATAACGTGTATATTTTAAAGAGATACTTAGATGTCCAATTAGCGTATCGGCTTAAAAATGAGTTAGTGATTTGATCGGGGCCCGTAGATTTCTTTTGATCAAGCTTTTGTAATAGAGAAAGTATGCCCTCCTCATTTACGATTAATTCTTCCATGGGTATTTTCACAGTATAAGGAGGTAGTAGCGCATTACTGGTATGTTTCGTGAAAACTGACTGAAAAAACTTGTTCATCTCATTAGCAATGTGTTCGGGATCTTTAATGATTTGTTCCGAATTTTTAATTTGTGAGATTGAGTCTCGTTCATCTGATAAGTATCGCCAGAATTTTTTGGGACAGTGCGCCATAAACGAAGCTAACGTAGTGTTAAAGAAGCGGGTTTTTGCTTCTGACATTTTATGCTTTAATGTCCCGATAAGATCACGTACGTTGTTTTTGGTTCCCTTTTTCTGCCGTCGTTTTATTTTTCTTTTCAGTTGAATTATCTCACGCGTTATCCAAGGGTATTCTCGGTTGATGCGTTTCTTTTTATTCGGAATGAATGTGTCTTCGCAATATTTAACAGTGCTTTTAAAATGCGCCCAAAGTTCTTTTACGTCTGTAAGCTCAATGAATTCATGAAATTGTGTTTCCAGGAAACGTAGCACAGCAGGGTCATTTGCACGTGCGTAATCTTTAAAGTAAGTAGGTAGTGGCTTTTTGTATTTCTTCGCGCATGAAATAGGGCAGGTTAAGGTAATCGATTTGTGATCGGAAATGCCATTCTCGATGGACGCAGAAGAACCTTCTAATGTACTACTTACAAACGCTAGGTCAAGTAAAGACGATGACGTCGCAGTGATCCGAGTGTTATCAGTTACTAGTTGATTCAATGAAAACGCGAACGCTACGTCCAGTAGTAATTCTGAACTAGCAACGTCACGACCATCATGTGAACCATTGTTCCAATTTATTCCGGGAAGATTAAAATCCCCAGCAAGGATAATTTTTGACCTAGAGTTAGTATGCTTTGAAAGATAATCATGAATCACTTCAATGTAGTCAGGTGCCGCATTTGGAGGCCGATATACCCCTCCTACAATTATACTTTTATCATAATATGTTATTTTGCACCAGACGCTTTCGTGGTCGGGAATGCCATCGAGTTCAAAGGTTTTGATATTTTTTTTTTTAATTGCTACCGCTACGCCCCCGCCTCTTGACCCTCTATCTTTACGGAGCAGTCTGTATGAGGGAGGGACGACTTCCGAGTCACGTACTCCGGAGTGAAGCCAAGTCTCTGTTATTATTAGAACGTGAGGTTGGTAGGACGAAATTATGTTCTCTAGTTCATTTGGCATTTGGCATTGTTCATTTGGCATTTGGCATTTGGCATTGTTCATTTGGCATTGTTCTCTAGTACATTTGGCAAGCACTCTCAAATTATGACAGGTAGATTGCCACTACCCCTCAAGAGGAAGGTATACAACAGCTGTATCTTGCCGGTACTTAGCTACGGAGCAGAAACCTGGAGACTTACAAAGAGGGTTCAGCTTAAATTGAGGACGACGCAGCGAGCAATGGAAAGAAAAATGGTAAGTGTAACCTTAAGAGACAAGAAAAGAGCAGAGTGGATTAGGGAACAAACGGGGGTTAAGGATATCATAGCTGAAATCAAGAAGAAGAAATGGACATGGGCCGGGCATGTAGCGCGTAGACAGGATAACCGCTGGTCGTTAAGGGTAATTAACTGGATTCCCAGAGAAGGCAAGCGGGTTAGGGGGAGACAGAAGGTTAGGTGGGCAGATGAGATTAAGAAGTTTGTGGGTATAAATTGGCAACAGCAAACACAGGACCGGGTTAACTGGCGGAACATGGGAGAGGCCTTTGTCCTGCAGTGGACGTAGTCAGGCTGATGATGATGATGATTCAGAAATTGGAAAGACAGGTACGGCCAAATCCTGTTGTAATGAAACTACAAGTGCGTGCAAAAACAGCACTTTCGCACGCACGACTCATCCAAAAACTTTTAACATTGTAGAGGTTTGCTGGTTTCCCGCATGGTCCCCCGTGGCTCCCCGGGGGGGAGCGAATCACTGTTGAGGGTTCAGGTTATGTGCAAGAAAAGCAACAAGATATGTTTGCTGTCGTCGAACTTCGATGCAGCGAAATTTCATGAATAGAACACACAAATGAGTAAAATTATTTTTGAATTCGCCTTCCAGTCCTGGATGCAACTATTCATTTGCAACAATGCCTCACTAAATTGGATCTTTTGACAAAACATTTAGTACAGTATGTCCACATAATATAGCACAAATGATGTGATGCCATGGTCATTCACTTACCAACAATTCCTGACAGGCCAAATATTGTGGTCATAGTCGTGAAGGCTGGATTTGGGGAGACGACTCCGAGGCCCACAACAGTTCCAAGACCTGAAAGTAATAAGGAAAGGCGAAGTCGGTTAACATCACTTTCACGGAAAGAATTTACTAGGACATCATGATAGAACAGCATGACAAATGAGTCTGCACACCAGTGTTAAATAAGCTAGTGCTATTGACTCGCAGCCTGTAACAATGTATGCAGAGTGGCTTCTTGTTGCTTTGAGGTGAGAACTTGCTTCATAGTCGAGAATAGATTAAAAGGACGCAAAGAGAAACACAATTCGATATTAGTATTGCTTTTTCACGGCACTAAAATTACGACGCTTGCCACGCGAAGATGCTTTGTGAATGAGAAAACGCGAAACAAGAAAATGTGGCCGGTGGTGCCACCCTGAAATGCCCGCGCCACTCAACGTGACGTCGTCTATTTTGCAGTCTTTTAGGTATAACACAGTTCATTGATAGCAATGAAGTACATTGTCCTCTGAGGAGGCCGTAGACAAATATACCTACTGCCAGAAAATTTCTTCAAGCAAATGTTGCCAAAATGTAGATGCGCTTTGAATTCTGTGACGTGATGTAGATGCGGGTGCGAAATTACAGAATGAAACTTTACCTTTTCTTTTTGTTCCATTAACAAACCTACTACAGTGAAATCTCAGTAAAACGAACCCCAAATAATGAACTTTTCAGATTAACAAACTTTTAAAAAATCCCATGCAGACTGCTAATAATTTCAATGTAAAAGTATTTCACTACTACGTACTTCAGAATACAGAGCTTTTGAAAATAACGAGTGCTAATTTAGTTATGCATTATATTAACAGCGCCTCAGTACAACGAACCCGTGTTCTGAAATCCGTAGCGACCACCGGAGCGGTATGCAAGCAGACGACACGGCTAACAGACGCCTTGCTTCTAGGAACACGCGCGACGGTGCGGAGGGGAAAAAACGAAAAGACGAATTTCTTTTTTTTTTTTTTTTTGAAACGCCAGGGTTGCAGGTTTACAAGCGCAAAGGCGAGGGCAACACGAGAGGGCAAGGTCGGTGGGGGAGCAGAAAACTAAAAGCGAGGAATTTTCTTTTTTAGCTCTTTCTTTTTTTCAAAAGAGGCGATGACAGCCATACGCTTTGGGTTTTTCTAATATTTGTCTTGTCAAGCCTTGTCAGTCGTGTTCATCACTTTTCGGTAATTACTTATTGGGTCCGCAAACCAAGTCCGAGTTTGCACTGCGGTGCTACTACACTGAGTTCATCTCTGCTTGCGACGAAAAAGCGGAAGCAGTTTTCGCTAAGTGAGAAAGTAGATCACACCACAGGAATGTGAATGAGCTAGAGGCCTTCGCGCTGCAATGTTTGTGCTGCGTGTGCAAAAAAAAATCAGACTTTCTTAAGTAAACGTGCATTTTTTAGTGTTCACTTGTGCATTCGTTTTTCTCGTAAAAAATGAGTTCAAGGGCCCATCATTTTAAAGGTAAGTCATTTTGGTTGGTGGAAAATAAGTATATATGGTTAATTTTTCGGCTTTCACTATAACGACCTTTGAAAATAACGGACGAATCGCCGTGGCCCCCGGATGTTCACCTTATTGAGATATCACTAAATTTATGTCACTGAAGTTTTCAGTGTGCAATGTGCCCATCCAAACTGATTCATTGTTCTACTGTTCAAATTTGGGCTTGTTGGTAAAGACTGTTGAAGGAAAATAGCATTGAATGAATGGGGACACAAAAAAGGAGGCGCAGCACAGACACACAGCGCCTGTGCTGTGAATCGCCGTTTATTCAGCACTACTTTTCGTCCCTGTTCTCTTTTAGTGTACCTTTAAAGGGCCAGTAAAGTGGTGCCGAGTTCCTTGGCACTTTTGAACAAGGTGGATTATTTTTTCAGACAGTTGTGGCAATCATGTCAGTAGGCTAGGCCTACTTCACTTGGATGCCTAAAAGGACGTGGAGCCAAGTGAGAAAGCGAAGCCAGCGGGAGAGTACACCGTTCTATGCCTTCTAACTTCCTTATTACAGAACTTATTTGCAAAATTCTTGCAGCAGCGTCCCGATTCTGTAGAAGCACACAGTTATATATTCATCACGTATTTTGGACCACGGGGTTGTTTCCTAGCCCTTCACAATTCAAAGAGCCACAGATACCATCAGGCACAGTAGGGGAATGAATTCTGTTGAATAGAACCAACCTGCTGTGTAGACAAGAGACTTCTTGAGCGTTTCCTTGAAGTAGTCAGGAACTTGCGCCTCTTTCTGCGCAATGCCAGACGGCTTGGCGCCAGTTACTGCGGGCTTCGGGGGTGGTGGAGGTGCAGCCGATACTTTAGGTGGCGGCGGTGGCCACAGAAGTTTTCCTTCCTGAAGAATTATGGAGCCACGAACAACCTCGTCGTTTAGATCAATGTAGAAATGGTCTTTGGAGCCTGCATGAGGTTATAAAGAAAAATGATCCAGCAATAAGCAATTGCGCTTTTAGACCGCTTTTATGACACAGCACGCACTACCTTCAACCCTTTCGGAAATTATCGTACTTCCTCAATCATAATGGACTTCACTACTGGATGTTGGCTCTCACATTACATTCATGACTGATTGATATGTGGTGTTTAACTTCCCAAAACTACCATATGATTATGAGAGATGCCGTAGTGAAGGGCTCTGAAATTTCGACCACCTGTGGTTTTTTAATGTGCATGCTGATATTACATTCAAATATATACATAACTAATTACAAACAAAGCACTATGACAATTCATGAAATTGTCAGCTGATCTGGGAACAACCCAGTGCTGTGGCCACTTAGCCGGAGTTTTTTTTTTTTTTCAGCTTGTCAAGCTTTTCTTGGAAATGCAATTCACCAACATGGCACAAGTTTTACTTTACCAACCCTTTATAACATCTCGACATGTGCCCACATGATGCAAATAAAATACGAGGAAATAATGTAAAAAACTTGCCTATTGACAAAAGGAACTTCGAGATGTTGTTGGCATACAATGTTGAGGACTGTGTTGGCATACGACTTGGCAGGTCCGTGTAGCCAATGTGAATGACACCCTTGTGCACGTACAGCTCTCCGGGCTTGGTGGTCTCGACGTTGCCGCCACTCTCTGCCGCCAAGTCCACAATGACCGATCCGGGTTTCATGGTTTCCACCATTTCCTACGGAACACGCGTAAGAGACTGAAAGGTAGCACTATCAACACATTTCTCACAACCTGTAAATACCGTATTTACTCGCATAATCCTCGCAGTTTTTTTGCCGGAAAACCGATGAAAAGTTGGGGGGTGCGAGAATTACGCGGGGGAAACGTTCTACGAAGACGTACAGAGCGAAAAAGAAAACGAAGTGGGCGCAAATCGGATTCTCACACCAGCTACCAACAGCAAGCTTTAAGAAGTATTGATTAAAACTCATCTCAACAATAAAAGCAGAGGTTCAATGCAAGACGATTTAATTGAGACACAAAAAGTGGAAGCAAATAGTCGAGAATTAGAATACCATACGCAAAGCTTGCGGACGTTGCGGGCGTAGCGGTAGCGTTCGTCACTCAACAGGAGCCCTCAAAAGGTAAGCGTGGGGCGTCAGTATTGGACTGATGGCTATTTAACAGAATTGTCTGCAGTTTCCTTCTTAAGAAATAAAGTTTACCATCAATCCCAGTTTTAGGCACACTGCAGGCCCAATGCGTCTTGGTGGCTTTCAGCTGCCGTTACCAGTAGCAAACACAAAACTTGTAGACACCGAAGGGCCTACCGGCGGCCCTGTTGCCGTTCTTTAGTGGATTATCTATCACTTGCAACTTGAAAGCAGCCGTACAGCTTCAGTATCGCCTCATAACTTGACAAGGTTACCGACGCAATATACAAAACACACACATTTCTCACAACCTGTAACTATGTGCAACAATCTAGCAACTACACATTCGTTACAGGAAATAAAACTTTTTCTGGTAAAACTAGACTTAATGAAAGACCTCCTTAATTTCCTACTGAAATGATGAAACCATATATTTTCTTCTCTTCTGAACCGACACGCTTTAAAGGCTCCTAGTGCCCCAAAAAAGCTTCAGCAACTTTTAACCATAATTCTGGTATTACAATTAATAAATGCTGACAGCACGGTAAATAATGAAAAGATAGTGCTGATAATGCTCCACCAGGAACCGTGAAGGCCTTAAAAACCTAAATTAGAGAGACAAAAAAACAATGGTCTTCCAACCAGTTTCAAGAGATTCATTATACACTCTGCAACTGTGAATATACCATAATTTTTTTAAATCTTGCAATCTTCACTCACCCTGGTAATCAGAAGGGGTGCCTTCTTTCCCGGTATAAGAGCTGTAGTGATGATGATATCGACGTCTTTACACTGCTCAGCAAACAGTGCCATTTCAGCTTCAATGAACTCCTTGGACATTTCTTTTGCATACCCTCCAACACCTTCACCAGACTCCTACATACAGAGGGTGGGAAAAAAACTTTTTCTCAAGCCCAAACATATTACACTCAGACCTTGACATAACGAACCCTGCTATAAGGAAATATTGGTTATAACAAAGTAAATGAAGAATAGTACTGAATTAAAGTGTTAGGAGTATACCTTTATAACAAATTTTTTGGATATAACGAACTTATTTCTGAGAGAGATGCATCTTTTTTATAACGAGGTATGAGTGTAGTACTTCCCTAATGACGTTATTGTCCATAAAACACCCTCTAAACAAATTCTGTTTACCTCAGAAAGATGCCATCATGAGCAGGAATAGTATGCAACTTATCTAGAACTACATTTTAGAAGCAAGACTCACTTCATCCGCCATCAAAGAACATTAGTATATAATTTAGCATAGAGGCTGCTATACCAATTATGAACCCAGTCATCAATGTGGCATCACACTTTCTAAAGTTCATTAATATGTAAATGCAAAAGAACAACTTAATTACTTCTCTTGGTGATCTCATCTCTATTATTCACAAGCATGAGATATTACAACCATGCCTCCTCACCAGTGTGGCGTTGTCAATGTAGTAGTCACTGCATTGTGGCTAACAAACTATACACACTGAAAAATTGATAAACATATCCTGCTGCCTTCAAGACAACGTTCAACCTCTTGAATATATATGGTTACCACCTAAGAAATAATGTAAGCTCCACCCACACCATTGCTGTCCCTTCTACGGATATTTTACATAAATGCCTCATTTAACAGCACCTGCTTATTTTCACAATGTCAAACAATTTTCCAAGGTTTCTGTTAGCCAATTTCTTCATACAGACAAGTTTTTGTTGCTGCTTTTAGGTCGGAATTTTCAATGTCCCAGGTAAATTTGGTCAGCAATTCTGATACCGCTGCTCAGCTAGACTATGTTTTAGGTAGTAATTACAAACACTTAAACGTGCTTAGTATTTACAATAATCCAGAAAAACTACTTGCAGTTTCAACATAAACCAGCTACATGGCATGACTATTTCACAGGTGCAGGGTAGGCACGTAACTTCCCCTCTATTCGAGCAAAAAAAATGTAGGCAGAGCTCACTTTTTTTTTTACACTGTAACCGAGTGTAGTGTGCAATGATGTAAGTTGCTAGTTGCATGGCAATTAGAATATTGAATCATCTTGCCTCCAAGTTGATTGTGAGGAACTCTGCACCGAAGGACTCCACTTGTTCCCTCACAGCCTCGCGCGTATCGAATGCCCTCACAATGGCACCCATATTTTTGCAGCAGCCGACAGCAGCCAAGCCAGCTACCCCACCACCAATGACAAGAACCTTGGCAGGAGGCACTTTGCCAGCAGCAGTTATTTGGCCTGTAGAAAGAGTACATTGCCACCATCAAAAGGTCAATACAAAGGATTAATTGCCAAAGGATGCAGTAACAAAAATTTAGGTTTAGAACCCACAATACCTTGATGAGAGAAAAAAAAATTCCACTGATTGACTACTTTACATTTCCTTTGTGAAAGTAAACTCGCTTTCATCGAGCCATGTGAAATTTCTGTGCTGTCTTCGGTGTCAGGTTTTTAGAAACACAATCTATAAATGTATATAGATTCATAGGCTTGAAGGTTTTCCTTTAATAAGCCCTTCACTGCATATTGGAAAGGCACACAGACAAGTGCTGTCTGTGTCACAGGCTTACAGTTAAAAGCAAAACTTCATTTGTCGAAACCGCAACCTTACTAGACTAGCCTTGGTGAAGCTTACATATTAGTCTGTACTACCTGGTTCCAGCTAATCTATACCTAAATCTCTGCACAGAAGTTTTTGAAGACTTCACCCCGATCAAAACAATACGGCTGCCGTGGCAACGATCGCGTTCACCATCTCAAGCTATGCCACAACGATTGAAATTACTGATGCAAGTTGCGTAGTGACAGTACATTAGTCCAAGGTATAGCACTGAACTGTACCCAGAGAGTGGCTGAAAGTTCAAACACTAACCCATGCACCCTTACTTTTGCAGGAGCCCCATCATCCAACAGAAAGACGTCACACCAGAGGTACACTCGTGTCGCACAAAATTCCTGAAACGTCGATCACGACACAAGATGTTGGTAATTTATTCTATGCTGCATTAGCGTGGTGTGTATTGTTATGGTAAAGTTTAATTTAATCTGAAATTCATAGAGAAAAAGAAAAAAAGTAGGTGAGCCTTCTTTGGCATCCTCATCAGACACAGAGCGACGCTCATGCTGTTGCCTTATCAAAACTAATTGCTCCCGCACATGAAGACACTCTGTGCAGTCATACCATAATTTTGGCAAGTACTTTTCTTGCTACACAATTTTTTTTTTAAGGGAATGGGTGGGGCAGGGGGGGTTCACAAAATAAAAGGAACACACAGGAACTTCTGTGCAAAATGTCCGGCAAAGCTCTTGAAAGTACGCAGTGCAAGGAGATTAAAAAAAAAGGAGAAAAGAGGGGTGGTTAGTGATGCACAGCTGAGACCCTTTCCAACATTCACGCACCGGGTCGCAATCCTTGTTCTATATAAGATGTCTCTTATAAACAAGCTACCACATAAACATTTTTTTATCAACCGCCATTTTTTCGCAGGCACACTAGGTGTCATACCCATCGGTCTCTTACATCAGTACGTATGCCTTGTGAAAGAATTCGACTGTATAAACGAAATGATATTTCGGTTCCTGTAACAAATAGATCAGGGAAAGAAAGTTGTTTGCAAGAGCTAGCCAAGGCACAAGAAGAATGTCTGCACATTTACTCAAGCCCTTGTGGTGGTAGTGTGACTTGATGACATCCAAATTTTTCTGATCCATGCTTTTAATGAAAACACTTGATAGAATTGTTAGATGCCACTGAGAGAACACCTTAAATTTCCTGTGCATGACCAAAATTTTACAATAAGCCTCGTTGTAGCCACTTCGAAGAGAACTCTACACCGTTTCAACTATACCAGGTACAATATGATCGAACAGATTGCGTAGCATTGTCGGATTTCAACAGAATAATTTAAGCCCTATGCACAAAGCGCGCAACTTATTGTAGGGCTTTAAACATGCACAATATTGCAGTTCACACAGCGGCATTGTGCCAAGTTTTCAGCCGCCCAGGTTTCAAGATGTGGTACTGCTCCAGTCATTTATGCAAATGATAGGACTGGCTTCTTTGTGTTTGCGTTCCACTGAAAGAGAGTGAGCGACTGCATTCACGGTGGTGCCTGGTGACGCAGAGGTCAACCAGACAAATAGAAAGCATGGCTTCATGATTTATGATGTGCTTACAGAAGTTTGCCGATGGCAGGGCTTCATCCCGAACATTCGGCAAAGAATCGGAGGGAAAAAACACAGCTCAGGAGAAAATTAGCACTTGATTACCCCCGGCTTCCTTGATACAAGGTGCCTCACTCAACTTATTTATGGTCTAACTGATTTACTCTAGCTGTGAAATAATCTCAAGAAACCATTTCGGTGAAGCTTTAACCTTTCGCACTCCAGAACTTTTTCCCACCTTTCATCCATTGTGATCCGAAACTGAACAGCTCAAAACTCAAGTAAAAGAGGCCCACTTGCTCTTAAATATGAGGCATAATATAGAAACTAAACATGTGTGAATCGCACACGAGAGCACTTGTCCAGTGGTGTCTAACCACAGGCTGCTGCTGCAGCCATGTCGTGGTTTCGTACAGGGCCCGCCCGACAACGGACCGTGAAGGGTTGATGACAGTACCTTCATAAATCAGCCTGTGCCCATGCCGCTTCAAGAATAAATCCCACAACAGCAAATGAATGAAGTTTGCAAATATGAATACTATTAATGCAAACACTTACAGTAAGCTAGCTGTAAAGCATAAAGAAAGAGATATTAGCATGACAATATAACCATGTAACTAACTTTGGAGATAATGAACTATATTAAAAATCGTGAAAATGTCTATATATAGCATTTATATTGCCTGAAGCTCATATCACCCATCAGGTACAACTACAGTCCTTCACTAATGGTAGGACAGTCTCATTTACTTATGATTATTTTATTCCGAACAAACCCGTAATGGCTTTCGAGACCTTTCATTTCTCATTTACATTGAGCAGGCGCTTTTGGAACAAAGAAAACAAAAAGAACTCCCATTGCTGCTTTTCTACATTGCCAGTGTTCACTGAACACCACAGCAAACCCTCCTTTAAAGACTCACTGAATATCAAATATTTTACTATATGCTGGCTTTGTAATTCTATGCTTCAGCGTTACTCTTTAAACTCCGAAACGTCTCTTGACTCTTAAATTTATACCGTTTCTTGCAGCTCAGGGAAATGTTCATGCCATCCTAAAAAAGAATGCACTGCATTTGCTGCAGTTTTGACGGGACTTTCACAATTTACATATGATAACTCATGTGTACATGAACTGCGGTTACATCGAGATTCTGCAAGACAAAATTTGTCCACACTGATTTCTTCATGTTATCTTCACGCCATATGGTGTATACCCAGAAAAACAGGTTGACACAGAAATTTACAGAGCATGTCCTTATGTGTCACTAGCCCTGATGTTCGAAAGAAGGGGAATGAACCAAGGGCTTGTTTCTTTGTTAGGCACAACCTATGAAGTTAAAAGGGAATGAAGCCAAGAGAAGCATGCAAACATTGTTTTTAGTGTTTAAGTGCAGCATAGTAATTACGACACAAATGGAAAGGACTGAAAGGGGACAAGAAAGCAACCTTACCGCCAGTAGAGACCAAGTCTAGAACCTTCGCATAATGAATCTAATGCTTTACAAATTGAGCAAAAGTGGCAGTCGCTAGCTCATTCACTTTATTAAGTATTGGAGTGTTGGCCAGTGTTGCTGTGTTAAAAGGGCCCTGCAACACTGTTTGAGCATGGTCAGAAAATGCTGCCTATCGGTAGTAGAGGATCCCGACAACACGCAAGCCAAATATTATAGCCCAGCATGCGGCCTGCAATTCGCAAGAAATGACCTAAGTCGGCTAAAAATTGCTTTCTCTTCTCTCAACAAATCACGGAATATGCCCAAAAATCACACGTAGCAAGCCCATCTATCAGCCATTGGCTGATTTGAACATGGCGCGCTCGCTCGTTACAGTGATCGTCGCGGGAGGTCGCTACTTGTCCACACGTGCGCGCAATCACACTGAAAAAGCCGCACATTCGAAGAAAAAAAATAAATAAGTGCTCAAAGTCACAAGGCGCACGTGGCACGTGGCACAAGGTGCACGTGGCGGCCCTACCATCCCTCCCTGCTTAACTTCCAGTGCTTTCATCAGGACGAGAGCAGAGAATGCAATTGCAGCATGCGACAAAACTTTACAACTCCACTTGCAGTGGAAGGATTCTTACAATTTTCGCGGCGTTGAATTTGTGAGGCAATAAGCTCTTCCAGTGAATTCATTCTACTGGTTACTTGAAAAAGTGTTTCAGGGCACCTTCAAAGTGTCATGTTAAGGTGTCATGCTAAGTCCAAATTACATGTGCATGCACTTACCGGTGAAGAAACGACCAAAGTGGTTGGCTGCTTCGATCACTGCCTTGTAGCCCGCAATGTTTGCCATGGACGACAGTGCATCAAACACCTGAGCCCTACTGATGCGAGGTATGGCATCCATCGCAAAGACAGTCATCTGCTTTTTGGCAAGCTCATCTACGAGTGAATTGTTCTGTGCCGGATACAGGAAGCTGATGAGCGTGCTGCTGTCTCGTAAGTGTCCCTTGTCCACTTCGATCGGAGGACGCACTTTGAGCACAATGTCCGACTGAAACGTGGTCTTGCAATCTGTGATGCGCGCCCCACTTGCCTCATAGGCCTCATTCTTGAACTTGGCCTGTAACGATAACAGTTGCAAATTACAAAGAAAAAAGCTTCAATAGGAGCTACAACACAGCAGGTAAGCAAAATGCTATATGCACAATTGCTTCAATGGAAACCTGCGCATGAAAGTTTACTTAATTTACAGAGGCGAAATCGCAGCACGATCCCCTTAGCACCATCACCCAACTCGGCCATTCAGCTCCCTTAAAGAGACACTAATGGGAAAAAAAATGTTTCTCGTACTATTGGTAAATTATTCTTTCACGTCCCCCGATAACACCACACTTGCTACAAGAAGATGCTTGGCAAGCAAGAAAACGCACACAAAAGGAAAATGCGGATGGCAACGTAACTTTGAAATTCCTGCTGTTAGTCGTCGTCGTGTGATAAGCCTAGATGGTGTCTACTAGGACCTACGTAATTCTTAATTAGCTAGTAAAAACAAGGCACATTGCTTTCTGAGGAAGCCACAAGCTTAGCATATCAAATTTTAGAAGCATTCATTTGGCAAATATAGCCAAAATACAAAAAGAAAATGCTGAAATTCGTAGGTGTCACTATTAAGAAGCCTATGGTGGTGAAATAAATGGCAATGGAGTTTCCAGAGCATAATTTATCAGTCTGAACTAATTCATTGACTCTGGAGTCCCGGTAATGGTTTGGTATGGGAACAAAACATGAAACCTAAAGATTGGCCTATTTCGTGAAAACGTGAAAGAAAACCTAAGAATCGATGTGAATGAAAGACAAGCCCAACAAATTGCCAACCAAAGGAGGCAGCACTCACCGCTGCACCAGGCTTGCTCCTCAACTGTTGACAGTAAACCCCTTCTTCACTAGTGCAGCAGCAGGCGGCGGGAGACAATGCAACGCGGTTTTCATTCTGGTATAGTTCTTTGGGCACTCCAACAGAAAGCTTCGAGTATGGGATTCCCTTGGGAGCCTCGGCTGCACTCGAGCTGTCAGTTCGGCGAACCGAACTCCTGCTAAATGCACGTCGAAGCTGCGGCCATTTTGCAGACTTGGCTAGGCAGGCGTGCTCCAAGGAGAGCTTGGAATATTGAAGTGCAAGGAGCATCTTGGCTGCAGATAGAGTAAGAACGGGGGCGATGGTCAGTTGCATAAAATGTGCTACACAGGTAACTTTCAGATGTGGTTTAAAGGAAATACTTAAGCTTCACATCCAAGTTTGCCCCTAATTATACCACTGTGAAAGAGATAAAATGTCTCATGCCTTTTTTGGGTTCTTTCTGCTTTAAAATGAACACAACAGTTCTTGGATTACTCCATACTCAGCATTTGCTACACAAACTTTATTTGTTTTCTGTTTATGTTATTTCCAAATTGGTTATCCAAGCTCCACCACAAATATTAAAGCTTTCCCCACTGTGGCTTTGATCTGCTAAGCATAAAGGCATGAGCTGTGGTGACTGCAGTTTCATACATTGAAGAGCTTTTGCAAGTCAACTATCTATAGCTTGCACACCAAAACAAAAGGTAGTCGTACAGACTACAGAGACATTTACTACAGCATATTCCTTTCTGGACCCCGATAACAGCACATTTACTGGATTTTGAACGGATGAACACTGCATGTGGTCATAACCAGCTTATTATTTCAGCGGAAAATTAAGACACAAACTTATGAGACATGCTGAAAGAATATCGATCGATCGTGGGTAGGCTTGAATATTCTGTTTTATGCTTTACTTACCTCCCTTCGTCAAAAAAAAAAAAGAGAGAGAGAGATGCGAAGGGAACAAATTGTACGAGGTCCTAAGAGCTATACGTAATCGGTGCAGTGAATGGAGAATGAGGGCAATGCTCCGAAACAATAGTCGCACACTCCGTTATGCAAACGAGCCATTTTTCGACACACACATTTCGCGTGAGGCGAAGGGAGGCGAGCGATGTGATTACAATATACTCCATGCTGCGCTGTTGATTCGGTGCCAACTACGGGAATAAAAAAAATAATGAAAAGCATGCAGCAAGTGGCGCGCGCGTTGATCCTGTTTGACGGCGCAGGTGGTTTTGTTTTTGTTGCGCAAGCTTAGACGTTTGCTAAGCTACCGCTGAAACTAACATCTGAAGACGCGAGAACTATGCATTTTTTTTTTTTTGTTACTTGTCGTCACGATTGAATGGGGCGGCACTTGTGCGCATTGCAGCACCGTTGAGGTTGCTTCGCTTTTTTTTCTTCAAGGGGAGAGAACCGGACGAAAAGATTTCACTCGCTCCCTTCGTAGAAGGCTGTCGGAGGGCTTGTCAAGGCCCCGAGTTCATTGCGCTGCCGGTTAACCGGCGTGGACATGGCCCGCGCGATAAAGATGACCTGCAGGCCGGAAAGGCTGGCTACGCATACTCACGGGCGCAGCTCCAATTCAGTGACATATCAACTACGTACACCGATCAGCGCAACAGTAGTACGTCAGTTATTTATCATTTGTCCAGTACCATTCAAACACGTTATCCCACAAGCAAATCTCAGGGGAGGGAATCGTGGCACAAAGTTGCTGACATTCGTGGCAGATAAACCGGCATCCACCGCGCTACAGATTCGGTAAAACGAATGAGGAAGATCCCATTTACCACGCTTTAGTAATTGCTCTTTTCCTGCATGCTCGGAACAGTGGTTAGACCGATACCCGGCAGGGCCGCTAAATATAGATCACGCGTGCTGCTTTTGAAATACGGCCGCGCGTCACATGGTGCTGAAAAAAACGAGACTCTCACGAAGTAAGAATATGGAAGTGCTAGTACTATACATTCCAGCGGAATTACAAGTTTCGCGCATTTGAATAAGCGCAGGATTTTTGGAGAAATCCGTCAGCACCTACGTCGGCTACCTAGACGTGAGCGCTAGCACCGTACGGCCTCAAGAAATTTGACAAGCGAAAAGGAAGTTCTCATGCCGTTGTGCTTACCATAACAATGCAACTTGAGCCGTTTTTTTTAAGGGGGAGGTAGCCGACAGCACCGCTAGGTTTACGAGCGAACGTCGGCCCCTCGCCGCCTTTGACACGCTGACGGCACCGGCGGCAGCTTCGCTTGGAGCAGAACTCGCTCTGCCCGCCGCAAGCTCCGCTCATTCGCCACAGCCGGCGAAACGGTCGATTTCCTAACACCACACAGAAGATCACTCTCAACAATAATTTCTTTGGCTACAACTCCCAGAGAGCGCTAGTGACGCAACCTTCGTACGTTTGTCTTTGTGTCAAGCGAATACGTTGCGCTACATATCTTTGCGCCCTCTGTGAGTAGTACAAACACTTGCGTTGAATAAACAATATGCGAGTGTTTTCACTAAAGGTTCAAAAGACTACAGTGGCGCCACTATCGCTTGGCGACGCCAGCATCTCATTGGTCGCTGAGTGAAGGTGCACGTTTTGTTTTTTGTTTTCTCGGCGGACTTTGTCTGCATTTGTGCCGGCCGGAGAAAACGTGGACGCAGTGAAAGTCCTGTCGCCGCTTGGAACGAGAGACAATGGCACGAGCGCTGTTCAAATTTTCGCGCCTGCTGCAGAGGGAAAGCGTCTCGTCATCTCCCGCTGCTGTACACGTCCTTCAAAGCAGGTCTTGTAAGTAGCAACAGGTTTCCGAGCTGCCTTTCGACAGCTTCTGCGTCGTGCCTTCTACCGATCGCCGTTCGACTTCCTGCGCCCGATTTCAGTGCATTGCTCGCCGTTGTCCACGTCCGCTCCGCGCGAGGATGCTGTGAATCGAGAGCGAGCGCTCAGGCGTGGTTTATATTCTCACATGGGTGGAGCTGTAGCCACGTGGATAAATATCTCGCGCTACTCGGCGCAGCTCAGCTGTGGCTGTCACAGCTAGATGCGTAGGCTTTCTTCGTCACTACCTTGTCAAAGTTAAGCGATCACGTTTCTCTTGTCAGAGGGGAAAGAAAGGAAAAGAGCGCGCGAACACACGTGGTAGCGGGAATGTCCTTTTATTCGTCGTGCGCATTTGTTTCTTTCTGTGGGTCATATTGTCTTGGTTTGGTAGATTTCATGCCCCGTGTGCGTAGTACAAAGCATGCTCAGTCTCCTAGTCCCCAGTCCTCTTTTGACAACTGGGTCAATGACCCAAGGCACTTCGCGAGAAGCCCACCTCGTACTGCGGGTCGGTTCTACGTTAACGTGCGGAGCTCTGATTTATCCTCGTAATTGTTGTACTTTACCGTGCTCGTAGGGAGCGTCAGCGTATGACAAGTGTGATCCGGGGGCGTTCCCCGTTTTTTTACGCTGTGGTATTTGTTTTGACCCGACGCCTTATCGGCGATATCCGCACACGCCTCTGGGAGGGATGACTTGCAGTTGCTTCTCTGATAACAGGGCACGCCTGGCTTCTCTCTGGTAGTTGTTGTCGAGTGCTTATCTTGGCGCCGCAAGAGGCGCTTTTGACTTTACAGCTCAGCCATGGTTTGTGGAGTTCGTGTTACCATGCTTTGGAATTTCTGTCGGCGCACTGCCTTCGCAACACCGTTGCTTTCTTGTGGTAACACCATTCTGGTGGACCTAAAAACGATAGTGATGACTTCAGTTTTACTCGCACACAATTGACGTTGTTGTATCTTTATACGCCTTGCAAAAAAAATAAAAATATTCATGTGTATTCATTTTGACAATATCCTGTCTTGTGTATTGTTTTCTGTAATTTGCGTGTGAAGCAGAAGTGCTTTTTATTTAGGATAAAGTGCTCAAAAGCCTCAGCAGCGAAAGTCGAGTTCGCGTTTGTGATTGTAGATTACTTGATTTCGTGATGGTAGAGTTTAAAAAAAATTATCCGCCTTATCGATTTTGTCGGACCTTCGAGGATTATGTGTACTTTTACAAGCGGCTGGAGCGATGACTTAGGAAAACGCTTGCGGGTGATGCGGTGAAGCGTCGTTATTTCGTGTCATCTCGGCTTTCGCTGCGGTCACCCCTTCCATCACTGGCGTAGCCAAAGTAGGGTGACCCCTCCCACCCGCGAAAACAATTTTTGGCTACGCTTCTGTCTTCCATACTCCCGTGTCGGCGAAGCGAAGCTTAACAGATATAATCTTGCTACGTCGTGTGTCGTACAATATTTACACCCGTGCTTTATTGTGCAACATCCTCTAACGTTTCGGATTTTGGCACCTGTTGACGCCCATTATACGTTTCACCGCGCCAGCTGGCACGCTGCTGCCCTACATTCAGGTCAAGGTCACCTATAACGATTACAAAACACTGAAAACCATACTTGTCTTTTTTCTTTCGGAATCGGAGTATGCTACGGCCCAACGTTTATTATCTACATTGAGTACACGATTTTTTAAGTTTATTTTTACCACATACTGTTCCACATGCTGTGCATGTGGTATCATTCCAGTCAGTCCAGTGGCATGGATACAGCGCGTTCTGGCGCATGGCTTAACTAAACAAAAGACCACCATTGAAAAAAAATTTGCGATGTCTTCGTTCCTTGTTTTAAGGCTTATTACAACGTAGGTGAATAAAGAATTAATTACTGGAAAATGTCGTGTGTGGCTGTGTCTAGCAATAGGTGTGTTTGGGGGGGGGGGGGGAGGCTTAAGAATTTTTCTACACTATGCGTGTATATGTACGCGTACACATAAAGCACGCATGAGTATAAACACCCCTTGCTCCCCCCCCCCCCCGCCCGAAATTTAATAACAACAATAATATCTGGGGAACGTCTCAATCAAAAACAAATTTCTGACGACGCCCCTGACGTGGCTTGATCCGCAAGGAACTTAAATAAAAAAAGAGAGAGACCTTGCTTGCGTGCTAACTTGTTCAATCTCTTCAGTACTCGTAAAGTCACCTTCAAGAACGGACTTGTTTGTTTCGTGTCAAGAGACGTCTCCACGGGGTGTGTCATTGTGCGATTGCTAATACCGCACCGCGGCTACTCTTAGCTACAGTGTAACAACCTTGTACGCGTCGATAGGGCGACTGTCAATCAAACGTACTTTAGCGCGGGGAGGGGGGGGGGGGGCACGCTGCTATCTCCCTTCGATTCAGTGGGGCTTTGCTCGTTCCTCCGATTCAAATGCATCAAACGTTGGGATTGGAGTACTTGTAAACTTGCTTGCGTACATGACTGTCACCGAGAAACGTGGTCACTCAATTTTTGCCACTGCCAGTCTGATACATCAATCGAAATGCCTTAATCAACTGTAAGAAATTCAACGGAAGTTCCATAGTTTATTCGCGATAAGCTATAATGAACTTCCAACAAGAGATATTCTTAGTCCGCACTTGTTACATAAATCACAACTCAGTACATTTATCTCTTTTTTCCCTGCAAGTTTATTCGCATAGGCCAACGAAAGAAAAGTGGTGCCTTTTTTTTTTGGGGGGGGGGGGGTACAGATTTGTACAGATGGGTACAGACAGATCTTGGGGGTACCAGCTTGTTTAGATGCTGCATGAACTCTTACTCGAACGCGCAGGACAAGAAACTGTGACATCAGATTAGTGCCGGTGCCCCTTAGCGCGGCTGGCGGCCTGAAGAAAACGGGAAGAGCCCAAAAGAACGCGGGGACCGAACGATTTCGTGCCCTCCCCTGCTCTGATACTCTCCCGGGGCTGTCATGTTGAGGTACCCAGCGCAGAGAACCATTCTGTAATGTTACGAGCAAAATATGTATCATCATCATCAGCCTGGCTACACCCACTGCAGGCCAAAGGCATCTCTTCTTATATGGTTACAAAGGGGAAAATAATAGAAAAGTGAGCCCCGTAACTGTCTGCATCTGGTGCGACACCTCAACAGTAGCTCACGAGTGATGGGGGTAAGGAGGGATTGAAAGGATGCGATTAAAGGTATATATAGAGAGAGAAATGCGCAGGGACAGCGACGACGGAAGTAAAGAGAAGATAGGAAAGATGAAATACGGTCACAGGAGTCCGAAGACGGAGCACCACTGGCGAGAGCTCTTGTCGGCGTCAGGAGATGGGGTAGGGAGAGTTTAGTCGGCCAGAGCTGCGCTGTCGTCGTCGTCGAGGACCGGCGTCAGGAGGTGGCGTAGGGCCAACCCAGTCGGCCAGAGCTACACTGACGTCGGAGATCGCGAGGGCACAACCGGTCGGCACGGAATCCAGCGAGCGAGTCTAAAGGCATCTCCCATGACCCGCCTATCAATCTGGTGCCGTGCTTTCTGCTGCTAATAAGTTATACCTGAAAACTTCTTAACCTCGTCTGCCCACCTAATTTTCTGCCTTCCTTTCACGCGTTTGCCTTCTCTTGGAATTTAGTCAGTTTCCCTTAATGACCAGCGGTTATCCAGCCTGGGTGCCTAGCCTATATCAATTTCTTCTTCTTGATTTCAACTATGATATCCGTTGCGTTTGTTGCCTGACCCACTCTGCTCGCTTTTAAGGTTACACCTGTCATTTTCGTTTCCATCGCTCGTTGCGTCGTCCTCACTCGCCAGTGTTATACATATAGTTGCAGGAAAAGGGCGAACTTTTTTTTTTTTGGGGGGGGGGGGGGGGGAACGTGCCTGACGTTTTATGAATGATTATAATATGGATTATTTATATTTCTTGCCTATAACATGGCTTTCTTCTATTGGTCAGATCACGTATTCCACACGTTGCGTTTCATTACCGCTAAACTTTCTCATATACGAAGTAAATTAGATGTTGAACCTTGAGTCGCTAACATTATTTCTTTTCCAAATAATGCGATCGAATTTCCTTGCTCACACCGCCTTCATCGTTTCCTGAATTTCATCTTTTGCTAACCGCCTGCTTCCCCCCCCCCCTCTTTCTTTTTTACATTAACAATTGTCTCTCTTTCTCGGTCAATTCCCCGGGACCGGGTTAGCGTACTAACGAATCCGCTATCTGTTGCCACCCAATAAAGTTTTTGTTTCGCATTTTTTTTTACTTCATTCGAGGGCAGAACGTGTGGCAGCGTCACAGCATTTACGGCTGTCAGCTTCCACCTGCTCACGTGCATAGTCGCCCCGCCGCGGTGGTCTAGTGGCTAAGGTACTCGGCTGCTGACCCGCTGGTCGCGGGTTCAAATCCCGGCTGCGGCGGCTGCATTTCCGATGGAGGCGGAAATGTCGTAGGCCCGTGTGCTCAGATTTGGGTGCATTAAAGAACCCCAGGTGGTCGAAATTTCCGGAGCCCTCCACTACGGCGTCTCTCATAATCATATGGTGGTTTTGGGACGTTAAACCCCACAAATCAATCAATCAAATCAATCTGCTCACGTGCAGATGCTCTTCGGAGTACGCGCGCGACGCTCCTATGGCCGAACAGAGTACGCGGATGCAGCGCTATTACGAAGCTCTTGTTTTAATGGTACGTTGAAAAAAACAAATGAAAAGGGTGGGTGGGTAGGGTTTAGCTTATCAGCTGTTATAACCTTGACGTCGAAGTGCAAGGATATGAAACACAGCGGCGATATGACTGGGACAAAAACAATGGAACATTGTCGCACTCCTGTCTAGCGCTTTTTATTAACTTTTTGTAAAGAGTAAGCATTTCCAGATCAGTGGAAATGATGATTGCAGTATTCTTCTATCGCGCCAAGCAGCGTTGCGATGCAAGCAGTTGAAATTTAATGCTTTTTTTCT